GTCGTAGAAACAACGGTAAATATTAGCATATTTTGGGGTCGGGCCCGCACGCTGGCAAATAGTAGTTCATTCCGACCAACTACATCGAAATGCACTAATTTTTTTCCTAGATAAATGCAGAAATGTTTATTACAAAAGTTGTTCTTAAAAATTTTCGTCCACGAGGCGCAGAAATTGCTTAAGTTAAATTTTTCATAAAAAAATTATTGAAAAGCAAAAAAAAATATTTTTGTAGTGCAAATAACTTCAGTGTATAGTTTAATGTTTTCTAAATCTCCACCCAAAAAATTTTTCTTCATTCGGACACTTACTTTCAAAGAAAAATAAAAATTTCCAAAACACTGCAATTTTCAATGGTTGATTAAAAAAAAACTATTTGGAATTCTGCAACAAAATTTACACAGTGTACTTTTGGACCGAAAAACTCGGCGCTGCCTGTATATCATGGAAAAATATTAATCTTGGTAAATTCGGGGCCCACTTGTGGAAGCCTTACACATAAGTTAAATAATAATAATAATAATAGATTGGCGCTTACGCATATGTTGGTGTTTGGCCGAGCTTATCCTCCGACTTGTGGCGTGCACCTTGATGTTGTCATGCAAAGCAGAGGGACCTACAGTTCTACGCCGACTCCGAACGGCGATTGTATTTTTATGAGAAGCTGTTTTTCATGGCAGAAATACACTCGGAGGTTTGCCATTGCCTGCCGAGGGTCGACCCCTGTTAAGAAAAAACCTTTTTTTCTATATTTTTTCCGATGTTGCCTTGACCGGGGCTTGAACCCAGGTGCTGCGAAGTGGAAGCGCGCAATGCTTACCACTACGCCACAGCGGCCATAAGTTAAATGAATTATTAAAATATGACATAAAACGAAGGTGTAAGATATCCTTAGTTTGAATATTTAGAATCTTAAAGAGCGTTGCCACCTGTTTAAAAAGGAAACCTAAAATTATTTAATAAGTTAAAGCAATTATTAAAATAATGGGCATCAAACGAAATAGGTTTAAAAGGCTTTATTTCTGAACTGTATTTAGGAGCGTCGTTACGTATTTAAAAAAATCAAATTTAACTTAGCTGATCAGGCACATGAATATGTAGGTATCACGATATCAGACGCAAGAGATTTGTTTATTTCTTAACTATATTTAGGAAGGTTTCCAGCTGTTTCAGAAGTCTTAGCTAACTTACGCAACAAATCCGAAGACGAAGATAATGCGAAGACGAGCAGAATACGAAGAAGAATACTTATGCGGGGACCTAGGCTAATATAAAAAGTAATACATATATCTTCAGTATGAAAGGAAGTAAAAATGAATCGCAGTAGTGTTACACATCATGGCATATATTTATAAGCTGATGTTATATATAACACTAGTTTACAAATTTTCAGTTTCAAATGAGTACCTCGATAAAAAGTGCTTTCTAACACAATTTGGGGTCGCTGCAAAACGAAAATGACACTCATTTATTTTTCTCAAGAAGCGTTTCCGCGATTTCCGCAAAAAACGTGTTTTTCGTGTCTTATTTCAGTTTTTCACCGAAATATCCGAGGAAGTTGATGTTATGAAGCAATGATATACATTTTTAGAAAGGTACAGACCTCCTCTTTACAGCAATATGTCGTTATTAGTAATCTAGTGATTATTACTTCCACAGCAACCGTTCAAAGTTAAAAAAGGTAATTTTTTGAGCTTTTTTGGAAATTATTGAAATTTATCGACGTTTTACTATTGATTAAACAAATTTTTGTCCGATACATGAAAAGTTCAAAATAATTTTATAACAAACAAGTCAAGCTAAAGGTTGTCTAAATCGGACGAAAAATGTTGAAGTTATAACGTATTTTGTAAAATGATGCATATTCAGCTTCTGACATTCAAATTTCCTTTTTTTACACCTACACAAAAATAAATTATGAAGCAGGGCTGGTTGAATCGATATCCACGGAATGTTACCAAAATGGTAAAAAAACACAAAAAAAATTGTGTGTTAATTTATATGCTGAATCAAAGTAAACGTTGTACGGGGGAACAGAAATATCTCCAGTCGGTAAAATGCGTTACTGCTTGAGCGACATTGAACTTCCGCTATATTTTGCTGCCCCGCTAGGTAGTTGACAAACGTCATCGGATTTCGTTTCGTACTTTTGTTGAACTGTTGTTCCTTTTGTGTTCTCTCGTATTTAAGAATGACGTTTTTGCTCTAAGGAAAAAGCCCAAAATGTGCAATCAATCACCGGATAAGTTTTGCTTTATTTGTGGTTTCTACATATTCAAACAAAGTGCTCGTAAAAAAATAATCACAAACATTTTAATTGCTTGTGAACAATATTTTGGAATTTGTTTTTGTTATTTTTTGGCCTTAT